CATTTCAATGAAGCATGATTTCTTCTGCCGCGTAAGCTTTTCTAGCACGAATTATATCGCGATTTAATCATCCCAATATGAAGTTTGGTAATCTGTCCGCCCAAACTCCAACCCCTAATTTTCCCAAAAAAAAACGACTACATTTAAAATATCTTTTTGATAATTTAACTATGACTATTATGATTTTCCCACCGTAAAAATTTTATTAAAAACGTTTTATTTAAAAACGAAATTAGGCCTAAAGGAATAAAACTCATCAACTAAATTATTTCGCCACATTCTTTAACACTTGGAAAAATTGTAAGAAGAAGCAATCAATTTTTTCGAGACCAATATTTCAGAACTGTACATAATATGACCTATCTTTCGAACCATTCTAATGATTATTTGTGATAGCAGATTTTGTGTAGCAAAAAAAACTGAAATACAGTCGAAGACAATTTTTTCCCCACGTTTAGTGGTCGGAGCAAGAACTTAAAGCACCCTTCTGAAAATTGTGGTTAGCCCAGATAAGAGCAGTTTTTAGTTTTATGCATCATTGCTAGAAAGAGTTGTAGATCTAGAGGGCATTTTTCGCAATCCGCCCATTCAGTGTTTTAAAATGTAACCAAATTAAACCTTTGAAATAAATGACTGTATTGTAATATAATCAAACGAATGAAAAAACAATTCCAACATTTCCAGTAATATTGTACTGGAAACATTAAAATTGCGTCTTCAATAGTTTCATTATGCTCTTATGCAGTCAATTATCTCAAGGGTGAGATTAGGCTTTTTCTCAGAAACTTCAAAAATATATACGACAAAATGTTTTTTCTTTCATGAGATGAATGCACATTGCCAAATAGTATTTAGGTACGGAGTCAAACTTTTGGGGTAACAGTTTCTTTAGACAAACCTATAATGGTCAAACTGGGATCCATCCATTATTTTTAAAAGTGTTTTTTGGAGATAAGTTGGTTGATTGTTGGATCAGATAGAAGAGTGATTCAAAACTTTTTAGGAAATATATAGCAATTGCTCAGTGTTGAGTACATAA